GGTGGAAGGAGAGAACAAGAAATAATGTAGGCCCTAACGAGGAACAGATAGAACACAGTATTTGAACTAGGTTTTCCAAATCTGAAACTATGTGAGTTCTAAACACAGCTTTGAATATTATTCACAAGAGCTCCATTTAACATTGAATATATAATTACATTACAGTTGATGCTATCCCATATGCAAAACGAAGTAACGTATGAAAAGGGACAGTAGCAAGACCCCTGTGATGTTCGACTAGAATTAAGAGATACCAGAGTGAATGCATGGGCCTAAGGCATGATGTAAAGGTTTATACAAATAGAAGTACGTGCAAGTACACGTATGTATTTATACTTTCTAGCAGTCTGCTGTGAGACCTTACAATAGCATAAGCATATCAACTGTTCAGAGCTTGGTTACTAAATTCCTATTTTCCACTAAAAATCGGTGATACATGGAAGAATTACTGATTTCAGGATGACAGAAAAATACAAGATGAGCCCCCAAAACATGGGGAAACAATTTGGACTTAAAAGTAAATTCCACTCAAAGACTGAGGCTGGATATATCAAAATGACAAAAAGCCAACTCTACAGTGCTCACAATGTTAAGTCCAAGGCAATTTGAAAGCCAAAGTAATGACAAATAACAGCTGAATAAAACTGTGAGATTGTTCTACAAGTTGTACTAATGTGTCAATGCTAATGTCATGAGGTTTGCCCATTACTATAACTATATAAGAAAATATCTTTGAGCTGGAGTGTGGTGGCAGGAGGCAGGAATCCCAAGGTTGAGTCCTACCTGGGCTAGTTGCTACCTTGCTAGTTGGCAAGACCCTTTCTCAAGAAACAACAAATAGGGCTGAGAATTTAGCTCAGCAGGCATCAGTGTCTGTCTGGCAAGTACGAGGTCATGAGTTCAATCCCCAATCCCAGATACCACAAAAACAAAACGGCTGGGGGACATAGCTTAGTGTTAGAGCACCACTAAGTTCAACTCTGCAGTACAGAACCAAAAAACAAAAACCCAAAAAATCCTTGCTTACAGGAAACACACATTAAAGATTTTAGGAAAAACACTGAAACATTTAAGGCTAAAGGAGCATCACATTAATACTTTCATATAATTCAGAAAAAATTTGAGTTACTATCCATATGCTAACACGATCAATCTAAAAGAAGTACTTAGGGAGATTCTTTGTATTCGTATTCATTGCTGAAATTACCAAAATGAAAAGCTAATATATCTGGATTTCACACAGAATTCTATCTATTGGTCTGAAGTGGAACCTACCCATTTAAGATTACAATCCACACTAAAGCCATAAAGACTTGAGGGGTTAGGGAAAAGCAATAGTTCCTGGAAGGGAATTCAGGGTAGGTAATACTAGCATTATGTATCTCAATGAAGACACTTCGACATATAAAATAATTATCTTTCAGCACAAATACTTTACATTGAGTTTTATAAGGCAAAAACTCTTAGACAGGCAAGGAAAATAAACATATCTACAAACATATTAAAACAAAAGCTTCACTAGGAAATATTAGTGTTAACCAGTAATGGAGAGAGCCTGGGCTGCGTGTGGTCACACATTCCTGTAGTACTAGCACTCGGGAAGCTAAGGCAAGAGGACTGTCAGCTCAAGGCCTGCCTGAACTACATAGAGAGACCCTGTATCAAAAGCAAAAACCACCTCTCAAAATGCCTGACATACTGTAATAACCTAAGAAAAGATTCTGACCCACTACAGACTTACCATGAGGCCTATTTTACTTGTAACAGAAGCTCAATAGATATCTGAATGGCTAACTAGTGGATCTACTTTGACATTTGTAGGAGACATAAGAACACCTTTAGTGGATCAGAATTCTTGGGGATAAAACCAGATGTGCACATTTCCTCCATCTTAACTTGAAACAAGTTGACTCCACACTTGGATAAAATGGATATAGACCTTCCCACTATACAAAACGAACTACTCCTATTACTGTAGATGGCACAGGTTTACTGAACTGTGATCTTATGTAGGCAAATAGTCTCCCACTGATAATTACCCCCACATACAAAAATAAAACAAAACCCTATAATCCAGAGAAATCTATGCAAAGTCAGCATTATTACTTTGGACAGATGTCTTTAGCTGATTAATAAAGCTATATGGCAAGAGAACTCCTTGAGTTTTCCATGAATATATTTTGCATTACGTGGGAATATAAGTAGGGTTTGCTGGGAAAAACAAATGGAAAAGTTGATAGAATGTTTGGCTTTTTTTTTAAGTGCTGAGGATGAAACCTAGGGATTCCGAGTTGGATACATTTTGCAAAAAGCATAAATATAAAACTTCTACATTAAGTACAAGAAACTTGACCTGAATCGTAAACATCTTGGGGTTTCTGGCCAATGTGCAGCAAATTTGCCAAATCTGCTACAATGGCAAAGAACCACTGTAGACATATATTAAAATGGGTGAGCCATGCATCAATATAAAGATCTTTACACAACAGATGTAGACATTGGCGACTTTGCAGAACCTAAACTAGTAGGTAAGGAGAAACAGGCTAATAGGACAGTCATGTTTCATGACAAACATCTGGAAATTTCTGCCCAAGTGTCAGGATGGATATAACGCAAAGATGGCAGAGGTACTAGAAGATGTAGTATCTGAAAACAGAACACCAAAAATCCCTTTTTCCTCTATAGCGGGCCTGGGAAATGTTTTGATTCCCTAAACTATCATTTTGGCACAACTACAAAACTGAGTGGAGAAGTGCAGGACACTGCAATGTTTAACCATGTTTATTATCTAAAAAGCACTACAAGAATACAAGGGCCCTTATAAAGGTGAATACATTTAACAATTTGTCTAAGATTGGCAAAACATGAAACTTCACACATTACATTTCCTACGGCACACCCAATACACCAAAAGTTGTCACATATCACGCACAAACCACCCCAAACTGGGACAAAAGTTGATGACCAGGGAGGAAGAGGGGGCAGGCAAAAGCCCCCTTATAAACCAATCAAATGCCCAATGGAAACTATGACAATAGAGCCATGTTTGGGAAATGCTATCCTCTAGTAAATTAGGTTAAATTCATTAGAAGGGTTAAAAATGAAATCAGATCCAATTATCAATGTTACTTCAAAATTTTTCAACGTTTACATGTCTATAATGAAAATGTATAGCTAGCTCACTGCCTTGAGTATGTTACAAAAGACTGATTTGTATTTATAAGAAATTAAAAATTTCTCAGAAATACATCAAAGTACCAAAACAGCAAGATTTACAAAGCTGCTTTGTAGCATAGTAACAAAACAGATGGTGTATGAACAGGTAGAAAATAACACTGCTTTAGAAAAGCCAACTGTCCTGATTATACTTACAACTTCACAATGAGGGATCACTAAAGACAAAAAAGCAAAAAGATGGGTGGATAGATGTTATTCTAATAAAGGATACAAACACTACAATATGTCCAAACTTATTACATGATGCTGGGAAGACAATTTTCATGCCCAAAGAAAAAAAGCTAGGCATGTGCTCATACACATCTGGCTATGTGAACAAAACTTTTAGACAATGATTTTGAGCAGTACCATAAAAAAAAACCTAAAATTGAAGAATAGTTGTTCGCCTTCCACTGTTCACAGGCAACAAGCATGTCTCACGTTTGGCAAACATTATGGACTGGTTGTCATATAATCAAGAACCACAAAGCTAGCCAAGCGTGGTGGCTCATGCCTGTAATCCTAGCACTTGGGAGGCTGAGGTAGGAGGATCCTTTCGAGTTCAAGACCAGCGTGGGCTACAAAGTGAGCACAAGGCCAGTCTGACTGCATAGCGAGACCGTCTCAAAAAGAAAAAAAAAAGAACCACAAAGCTTTATTTGATCATTAAAAAGCAGAAATTAGGTCCTGCAAGAAGCTACAACTTATACTTGCTGGAGTCTTTTTAAAAACTCAATGTTAAGGCTCAATGTTCATTGTAACTTAACTTCATTTTATACTTACCTCTAGATTCCATAATCCTCAGGAATATAAGCTATATCTATTTCAGTAACAAAAGCTATCTGTGGAACTTATGAAATAAGTAGCTTTTAAAATTTGTAGTCCACTTTGTTTGGACTACATGCTCAGTACCAAGAGTATTAGTGAGTATTAGTATTAGCTCAGTACCAAGTATTAGTGTTAGCTCAGTACCAAGTGTATTAAGGAAAAAAAGTATACTTTTTTTCCTGCGATGGCAGCACGTAAATGACTTCTGTGCAAAATTATAAGCAACTAGAAGGTCTGAAGTAGAGAATAAAGGGACAAAATTAGCAATCTGAATTTCATGTGATCACATGACAAATTTACTTTTGCTTTTCCCAGTGGAAATCACAAAAAGGTAAGGTTTAAATCTACCCAAGGCAGTTTAAGATTGGAATTCAAAGCAAGCAGGAAATGATAGAATATTAAGATGCTACAGAAGAGAACAACATTCTGATACTAAAGGAGCATACAGAATGGATCTGGATGTTTTGAGGAATGATGGGTATCTAAGCTGGTCTGTGCTACTGTTCAAGAAACCAACCTAGACGTAGTATTTCTCAAACCATTTCTAATGAAGGACAAGTCTTAACCCCTGCAATGTCAAATACTTTTATGAAACATTTTTAAAGTAACCAGAAAAATGAATTTTCTTTAATGTTACAGCAAAACGGATTACACAAAATTTCTCGATTCCTAAGGCACAGTGAAGTTTTTTCAATGTCAATCTGATCTAAAATTTTTCAATCTGTTTGGAGAATTTGATGTCAACTGAGATAGTGATTGTTATTTTCTTTCCCCAATAATAATGAAGACAGTCTGCAAGAAATAATCAGAGGGACTGGTGATTTAGCTGAGTGGCATAAGGCCTGACTGGCAAGTGCAAGGTTATGAGTTTGCGCTCCAGTACATGTACACACACACACACACACACACACACACACACACACACACACTGAGAAAGAAATGATCAGATAACAGTCTTGTCATCAACTTGTTTTAATTTTAAAATGTAAAATATTGCACTGTCACAACGCCTTACTAAATTTATCAGTTTGAATGCAACATTAGCATTTAAGAATCTCAACTTCTATCAATTTGAACATTTGCTTTGCCATTTTACTTTAGAAGGTAGGACACTTAAAATTGCATATTAAAATACTTATATTTTGTCACCTTCTGTACTTTTGCCTCTAATGTTCTCAAAACTCGCTCAACAGCTTTAAGCTGGTTGCTAAGAGTAATTGGCTTCAAACACTCTTAGAAATGTTTATGTCTGGTCTATAAACTCACTACAATCTCAAGTAATTGACAGTCTATTACATAGGACTGATGCTATTCAGACAGTACATAGTGATACAGCATCTGTGGACTCAACTTTTCAGGATTCAAATTCATACTTTAAGATACATAAATCTTTAACGCTTATGTTTTCCTTTATGAGTAAAGGTATTATCACCTAGGTATCAAAGGATTATTACACAGGTTAATATACACGTAAAATGCCTGGAATACTTCCTGACATGAAAATTACTACAATAAGTGTAATTATTGAAATTCTCTTTCTGTAAAACTGATAAAATTTACATTTATTAAATGTCACATCCTACAATCAATTACTATTCATAAATTAAAGATTATTTCAACTTTCTATTATGAAAATATATAATATGTTGGGCAAGGAGGAAGGAATAATACAGTGAGGTTATACAACTTTGCAAGTCACTGTCATACCTAAAGGGGCGACCACCAAAAGTGATTTAGAAAAATTAACCACCGCTCTCCACACTGGTAGAAAGATTTCAAACAAAACTGTGACTCTAAACTGCATTTTAGGATTAAGGAAAAGAGAACATAAATAGACTCCAAGTTCGGTTCATTGTCAACAGATCACCATTACTTTTAAGTAAGCTACTGAAATGCTCACAACTGTACATACCAACAATCAGCTGACACAATCATGCAAACTTAGAACATTAGTTACAGATATTGCAATTATGAAGATTCTGCATTTTGAGAGTATTAAACAAGAGGTGCCTGTGATCTTAACAATATCTAGACAGCAATCTGTGGTATCACTTAAAACTATTTTAGTCAGGTGTGGTGGCACAAGCCTGTAATCTCAACACTCAGGAGGCTCAGGCAGAACTTGCTGCGAGTTCAAGGCGGGCCCAGGATATATAGTGAGTCCAAGATCAGCCTGAGCTACACAAGTTTTTTTCAACGCCCTCTCCCAAAACAAAACAAAACAAAACAAAACAGAAAACTATTTTAAATTTCTGCAACAAAACCAAACTTTTTAGTTCATGTTTATTTTGAGGACTTTTTCAAAATTATTACTTTGAATATGATCAACTCATAAGTGCCCTTTAAATTTTTCTCAACTAATGAATTTTCATTTTGCTATCTACAGTTGAACTTACCATTTATTATATGATAGCCAGAGCTTATTTCATAGGATCGAACTATACAATTATGTCTTGGAGACAAAATATTTTCAAGTTTGTCTTCCAATGATATTCTACAAACAGTATATCAAGTTTACAGAAAACCATACAATTGACCAATATAAATGTCTTTAAGATTTTTATTCCATTCTGTTTAAATAACACTAATAGAAGTCTGAATGCATAGTCCACCTGTTTTTTCCCTGTTCTGTCCTTCTGACACATAAGAACGTTTCAACTCAGTAACCAAATCTTATAACCAATTATGTTAGCCACATGGTGATGCACCAAAATCCCAATTCTCATAAATTTTTTTAATACATTGGAAGTACATTTATCTAATACTGAAGAACTGTGCCTTACTTCATTAAAAACAAAGATAGCCACATCAGTTTAATTCCATACATATACTATCTATTCAATTTATTTAAAAATTGTAGTAAACATAATAAACTAGTGCTCCAAATGTATGTTGTTCATGTGGAAGACCTACAAGAGAAGACACAAGAGACTGCCTTGCAATAAAAAGTACAAATTTCTTCTACAGAGATGGGAGAAATAAAAGGACAAATCTAGATGTCTAAAAGACAATTCACTGTACACATTTTATTTACAGTTTTTGTACACTGTCTTAATATAAATGGGATCGCTTTTCTACTTGAGCCATTTTTAACCAAAGCAAAATAACCTAAGTAATACAAAGTATTAAAATACAGCATAAAGATACAAAAACAGACATACTAATTTTAGTTAGGAATGTAATTATGATGTTACATTTTTTTATAATCCACAATTGTGTTTAGGAAATCACACAAACATAGATCACTGATTTGAATGAAATGCACAAATTTGTAGCAAACCTTTGCAGTCATAAAAAAAAATTACCAAAGAATGCACAAAATTAATGTTTATTCCACCCTTGTATCATATTCCTGGATCCTTTACCAATGTTACATGAGGAAAAAACAAAAGCTAAGCAAATGAAAACCTGAAATCAAAATCACTAATGTTATTAAGTAGGGAAACAAATAAATTAAAATCTAGCAGCCATCAGCAAGAGTACAGCAAAGATAATGCTGTAAAAAGAAACAAAGAAAATTGCTAGAAAACTGCATCATACTCTTTCAAACCAGCAAAATATGTGCCTCCATACAACGGAAAGTAATAACTATTTTCCCCTGTTACAGAAACACAAGCTCTTTTTTGAATAATGTGAATGGGTAAAATGTGTTTGTAATGATACTTTTACTAAGCTATTACAGAGTGAACTAAGAACACATTTATGGATTCCGGGGATTGATGTACACTGTAATACTTTGATTGGGATAGTGGATATTCTAGCAAAAAACAAACAAACAAACAAAACACCAAAACGAAAAAACCCACATAAGTAACAGAAGTAGAAGACAAAAGGCGAATGAGACTTCTCTTGTATCTTAGCAACATTTAGATGGAATCAAATTTAAATGCAGTCCACTCTGCTTTTGAAGAGGCTTTGGTTCAGCTCCCAAATCTCGATTGCTTGACGCAGTCTCCTATGAGAATACTCAGAAGGTGTCTTCTTAAACAACAAACCTATTTTTAGTGGTGGAGCCGCTCTTAGTAGCTGTGTCAGCATGGGACTGATAACCAATCACTATCTTTGGAGGAAGTCCTAACCTTTCCTTGTACACTCTCCTAGAAGATAAAGTAGTGGACATTAGTTTTTATCTATCAAAAAACAATTTTAAAAATATTTGTCTTTATATAAACAATACCTATGCTTGAAAGAGTAAAACACAGAATTATACAAACTCTTCCTTTAACATGATTTACCTTTTATTTTCACAACGTAAGTCATATAACAAATATCTGAAATCTAATCAGATTTCAAGTATTATAATAATTATTATTAAATCAGTAGTGTGCAAAACAGGGGTAGTCCCTCAGCACATGGCACATATAATCCAGTAGGGAAAACACAATCAAATAATCATATATATGATGAAGCTACATCATATGCATACTAACAAAAATAATTTTGCACAGATCTATTTTCACTTTTTGATCTAAAATGTTTCAGTTATATTTTCCATAATGTAATAATACTGCATGTTACCACTCAATTACACTTATCATTCCCAATATGAGCAAGACTGCACGTATGAAAACTAAATACTTCGAGGGAATGTTCACAGTATTTTCAGCATTATTTAGAACATGCATGAAAAAGTCTACAGCTCAATTTTCATAAAAGATGTGTCTTCTATAAGAAAATTTGGCATATGTCAAATAGCATTAAGTATAAAAGTTGTGATACTGCATAAACAGGAAGATTTAATCTCATTAACAGTATTAGAGAAAGATCCCCTTAAAAAGTTATGAGGTCAAAATTCTAATGTTAAGAGAATGAAGCACATTTGAAAGCTTAGAAAAGAAATGACACTGTGGTCACGATTCTAACTGAACTGCAAGACAAGGCTGACAAAGTCCTCAGGAAAGGAGAGCTTCATGTCACCTTAATAACTCACATCTTTGTTCTTAGGGAGAAAAAAAGTAAAACTTTTAAAAATAAGTAGTAAAACCAAACAAATACTCATTTTCACGGAGATAATTCACCTATCAATAGAATAGCTTTTCCACACTCCACCCTCCAGAAGATAGCTAACTTCCTCCAAATTCGGCATCTAAAAATAATTTCAATGATAACTAAAGTGCTAACTACTATCAAATTCACAATAAGATACTACAGTATTAAAAATGTAAAAAAGCAAATGCATAGACACCTGTAACCTAGAAGAGTTTTTAAAAAAGCCTTTCTTTGAAAAACTTGTCAAAATGTGTTCATACAGATTTCAAAAACAAGTAACACTAATATAAATGTTAACAAAAAAAGAAACCCCATACATAAATCTGGGAAATTCTTATACTTCTTGATCTGGAAAGGAATTTCACAGGACAATCCACAATGTTTGAAGTATCACACAAAGGGTCAAAACCAAGTATTTTGTAAGCTATGATTGACATAAAATTAATGTCAAAATTTACTGATTTAAATGCATTTAAAAAGAAAATCCTAGCTAACACTGAGGTTTGGGAAAAAAATGACAGGCCATTTTTTCAAATAATAAAATTCATCAAAACAAAAATCTAAAAACCTTCATGATGGTTTTAAATCTGGGAATAAAAATTCTATGTAGTATACATAAATGCAAAAATATACATACTGGGTCATGTGTCAATACTCACTGATTTACTAAGTTTTATAATTCAACCTTTTCAAAGCAGTTTTTTCAAATAGCACTTATCAACAAAGTTAGAAAAAATATTTACACTCATTTAATAATAAGTAAAATACTAAATATGTCCAAGTAGGGTGCTCTATTGCTTATATATTCCAATGGTAAGAAACATCAATTTTACAGAAATCAAAACACTATACATTAAGACAATGAGCACCACCAGTTCAAAATTATAAGTGTTCTTGAAAACAACAGAATGATACCAAAAGTTTGTAAATCCAAGTATTTTTAAACGAGAGAATTGCTGGTTTTAGCTATCTTAACATTGGTCAAAAAGAAAAAAGTAGGCAAAGAGTAAACACTTACCCTATATGTTGAACAGCCTCTCTGTTTTCACATTCAGTAGTCCATATTGCTATCTTATCACCTTTAGCTCTAACATTAACAACAGCTCCACAAACATCATCACTGTAGTCATCAAATGATTCTCCAATAAGGCACAGCAGCTTCCAAAAAGGAAGAAAGAAACTCTCCAAATTATAATGGATAAATTATAAACCATTTACTAGATGGCAAATGTCTCTTACATATGTGTATTGCCACAGTTTCTCTCTATAAGTGCCCAAGAACCTCTGCTACCCATAGGCACTGATTTTAGAAGGTGATCAGATTATGGCTTACAGCTCCCTTGCTATTAAGAGGTGAAGTCTACTCAGAAGAATGAGATGCTAGCAATGCAGCCTAAAAAGATACCTCCTGGCTCCTCCCTTCACTCTGCTGGCTTCAGGTCTGCCTTACCCTCTATACCTTAAGCCTGCAACGATGTAAGAACTGAAACTTCTAAAAGTCAAAATAAACCTCTACTGCTGTAAGTTAGTGATAGTAAGTAATGTGCCATCAAGAAGTAATTAAAGTCATATACATAAAACTAAAATTAGTTTTTAAATCATGAGTTAATGTTTAAATTTTATTTATATATATAGTTCTTCACCTTGGCATGCATGGATTCATTCATTCATTCATCTATAGACAAGGTCTTGCTATGTAGTTCAAACTGGCCTTGAACTCAGAACTCCTCCTGCCTCAGCCTCCTTGGTGCAGCACCACATCCAGCTTTGCCTTGACTTTTAAATTGTTTAGCATATTGGGGAACCAATGCCTACATACAGGAGTGTAATTATTTTCCAGTATTACTCATGTATTCAATTATTACTCATTTACTCTGCTGCTTGTAATTAGTACACAAAATTGATGAAACAACAAACAACTCTCCAAAGTTAGACTAATTGTCTTTGTTTTCTTGGAACTAGGGATCAAATGCAGGACTTTGCACTTGCCAAGCAGGCGCTTAAGCCACTGAGTGAAATCCCCGGCCTGCCATGTTGTTTTAAAAGAAAATTTGCTGTTTTTTAAAGGTTAAACATACATAAAATGTACCATTCTAATCATTAAGTGTATAGTTCAGAAGCATTAAGTACATTTACCATTGCTGTACAACCATCATGAACATCTATCCCCAGAAATGTCACAAGTTTTTAATCTAAGTTTTACTAGTTTAGATCTCCAATGGCCCCCAAAGTCTCATGTGTTTCTAAGGTGATTCGATTACAGAGTGATAGCTGGCTTGCTGTAATGAGGTAAATGTGGCAAGAACCAGGTTTATCTACTTTCCCAGGTTCTTCCTCCTCTCTGCTTTCTGGTAACAAGACATGAACAGGTTTTGCTTCAAGTTGTTTCTTTTGCAGCTTGATGATCATAGATTACATTGTGAGCCAAAATAAACCTCTCCTCCTTTAAGTTGTGGGTGTTGATTATGTCGTCTCAGTGACAAAGAAAGTGACTGAAACACATTTCTTTTTTTTTTTTTAAAAAAAAGTCATTTTAGTTAGGCACTAAAATAAGTGCCTAACAGTTGCCTAACAGTCAGTACTCTAAAGCTTACTGTGGTAGCATAGGTCTATAATCCTAGCTACTCTGAGGCAAAGGCAAGAGGATTGTCAGTTGAAGGCCAACCAGGCTCAGCAAGAGTATGTCTCAAAATAAAAAGGGCTGGGAATGCAACTCAATGGTAAGAGTGCTTCCCTAGCATGACTGAAAGTCTTCAATTTCCAGCATCAAAAATTTTAAGTAAAATACATAATGAAGTAGGAAACTAATCAAGTCATTAAGTCAAGTACTAGGAATGTAACAGAAATCTTATCTCAAATAGCTTGGAATCTGGAACCTCTGACAGTAATAATGCCTATTATTTTATATTTAATATACCTTGCAAAATCGAAATTTCTTTACATTGGAACTTATAAATGGTATTAAGCAACAACTCCACTGTTTGCTTGACTATGTGGAAACACATAAACCAATGCTGTAACTGGGATGCAAAGTATTACATCATATAACATGAAAAAATTTAATTTTGAGGTTAATAAAATGATCAGGTGAGCATACTGTGGAAGATGGGGGTTAAATACAAACTACCTTCTGTGTGACATATAATATGGTAAAATGTTTCACTGTACCAGCATGTAAAGTATACATGATTCACATGACTACACAAAATTTGCTGACTCCAGCTTTCTAGCGTAGGCATCCTTTTCTCCTCATTAAGTAAATCAGAGTAAAATGTAACTTCAGTATCAGAATTCTAAAACTGCTTTGTAATCTTAAAACCTTACTGTTTCTAGCCAAAAGCGATCTAGGTCACTTCGTCTCTGCTGTTTGTTCAGTGTGATTAGCCATCGTCCTCCCCGTTTGTTTTTCTCATCTTCCCACATAGGCTCAATACCATCCTACAAAGAATACAACCATAAGGATAGTTATTACAACCCTCACTTTGAAATAATTAGAACCAGCAAGCAACAACACTGTCAACTTTTATATTTTATTTCTCATAAAACTGACACAATATACTTTTTTAAGCACAGAAGGGTAAGATTCCAAAAGTAAGACTACTTATTTGTCACTTATTAGCTATCAAATCTTGTCTTTTACTTAATTTGCAAGGTTCTTACACCAAAGTAGTAGGTACCTTTTAGAAGCTACATACACTTAAAATACCTAAAAATACAAAAATTATGTAATTTCAGTGTTAACTAAAGACCATAGCCCTACAACTTGACAATGCTCATTTTATAAATATGTCAAGGATGCTTGTGGCCCTGGTTAAAATGCCTGACAATTTTGGGTTACTCAAAAACATAAGAGGGGGGACTGAACTACATAATCAAAGCCCTTACTAAAATCAATCTCAGTATGTGTACAGAGTAATACGCTTTCCATTTGTACAATGTAAACGGTAAAGCCTAGTAAAGCCTATTATTAGCCTGCACATTGCAGTATAAACTATACCTAAATTCGTTGCAAGATTTCTTAATACCTATATGAGCTAGTCCTATAACAGATGACAATACCAGTAAGGCGTACCTTAAAAAGTGAGTAGTCGCAGCCAGGCATTAAATTACTAGACAACTGGATATGGTTGTACAGACTAGGTAAAAGAAAAGGACAATTAAAAAGATATAATGCAGACACTTTAGAACATGAACAAGGACCATTAAAAATATGTCATGTTAGGTGCTGTAGAAAATATAAAAATTCATGCATGCTTTTTTTTGCCATGGAATTAATTTCTGAAATAGACAAAATAGGTATTAAGTTCAAGAGACAATTTATAAAACAATTTTCAATACCATTTTATTTTACTGTGCCAAAAAGATTTTGATATATTAATTCAATGCATAACCATGTATATGTAGGAAACTAAAAATAAAGGTAAGGCTATTTAAACAAATGAATTTGTGAAGCTAATGAACAAGTGTTTGTTCATAAACATACTAAAAAATAAACCAAGAGAAAAGATGAACCACACGATTACCAGGATTATCTTTGGAGATACTCAAGTATAGAAAAGGTTCTCAAAATACAAATTGTTACTCATGAGTCAGTATAATAATTATTATGGGAGGTTTAAAGAAATAAAAAATAGGTCTAAGCTCTCCCCCTCAGGATTATAATCACTTACATACAGGGTAGAACCTATATTTCTAAACTATTTCCCATCCTACTACATAGACATTCCGTCATGGCAATTCATATCAACCAAGGTTTAGAGCAGCACAATTTATAACAGCTAAATCCTAGAAGCACTTATATGTCCATCAACAGATGAACAGATAAAGGATAATTTGTAGGAAAATGGACACAACTGGAAAATACAGCAAGTGAAATAAATCAGATGCACAAGTTCAAATACTGCACGTTCTCTTTCATTTGAGCGACGAAGTTCAAATAAAGACCATAATAAAGGACTGAGAAGAAAACAGGAAATTGGATCTTTTGTAAATGGAATGAGGTCCAGGAGTCCCAAATTTAGAGGGGTGTAAAAAGCCTTAAGCTATGTTATGTACATGCACCAAATTCCCACAATAAATGTAAAGATTTTCTGTTGTAAACATGAACGAAAAATAACAATAATGAAAACAGGGAAAGCGGATTTATAGATGGAGGGAGCTGACTGAGGAGATTAAAAAAGAATCGGTGTTTTGTATTTGTACCTTCTCTTTAAGGTGAATGTAAACTTCACGTACTGCAAACATGTACTAATAAATGTTATAAAAATCAATTATTTCAGGCTGGGGATTTAGCTCAGAGGCATAAGCGCCTGCCTTATAAGCAGGCAGTCGTGAGTTCGATCCCCAGTACCGATAAAAAAGAAGACAAAAAAAAAAAAATTATTTCCCAAATATCAAAATAAGATAACATTTTAGATCACTTGCTCATTTGTCTAAAGGTAGAAGACTAGACCATTTGATTTCTTGTAAGTCTCTTAATAAGTCTTTTATAACTTATTTTAAAAATTGTCTCCAATATCAGACGGCAGAATATATTTTCACTATATGTCTGCAAACCATAGACGATTCAATTACCCTAAATCAGTTCCTCCTGGTGCTATTTTCACCCCACCCAACAATATTCCAGGCTGAATTTTAAGAAAGCATCCAGCATTTCATCATATTGGACAGAAAAAAACACCTGTATAACTCACTATTGATAAGATAGCATGAGAGGGTCCTGAATACTAACAGTATTATAGCATTAACACCATTACTTTCATGGTGAAAACTAATTTAAGTGAATAGCATGAGAGTGATTTTCTTGCATTCAAGGTAGAAGACTCCTCCTCTTTTCTGCTGACTCTTTTGTCCTTCATGGTGCGCTTAGGTCTCTTTAAGTTAATAATGAGAATTCATAATGGCACATTAAACAGATGAATCCTAAGAATACAAAGGTTGGTTAAAAACAAAATTGGATTCAATGGCTGTTTAGATTAACTCTGTTAGAAAAAAGAAATTAAGAAATGACAGATATTTATAGAAAACTGAAGGATTCCTTTAAATTTCTGAATTATGGTGTAAAAATGTACTGATCACAAATAACTGAAGTGTGGGGCAATGTTACAATTAGAGGACAAATTAAAATCTGATTATGTAACTGATAAAAGCAAAAAAAAAAAAATACCTAGACAAACACAAAAGTTGACTGGAAGAAGAGATCAAGATTTCTTTTCCCTCTGTAGGAGACTGGAAAGCACTTTTTTGTGCGAGACCAGTTACTCAAATTCTGACCTACATTCTCAGAGAAGAAAAACCACTTGTTTCAAAGGCAAAGTAAAATAACCGTTATTTAACTAGACAACTAGATCTGTCTATTGAAAATAATATTATTATTTAAAAAAAGAATGCTTTCAATTAAAAAATGACCATTTTCAGTTAGGTGTAGTGGTGCATGCCTGAAATCCCAGTGTTTGGTTAGCTGGGCCGGAGAACCACTGTGTGTTTAAGACCAGCCTAGCTACAAAATGAGTTCAAGGTCAACCTGAACTACTTAGTGAATTTGGTCTCGACCATTTTCCAAGTACTTATATTTTTTTTTTCAGTGATGCAAATGTACACTGAGTGCCTGTTACAGGCTAAGCACTGGAAATATACAGAATATTATTTCTTGCCCTTGAGAAAATACACACAAATTTTATGATCATTGGTGCTTCTGTGTGGACAGAATACACTCAGAGAATTACATTAAAACAAAGAGTAGCGTCACTAATTTATCACATATGTGATTCTAACACAGAGGTGTAAAAGTTGTAATTTTACATAACTGCTAGGTAATTCAAACTTCTTAAAAACCTGTTTTAAGTTTTACCTTTTATGTTCTCAAAATAGTATCTCCCTACATATATTCTCCATGTAAAGATACAAACAAGTTGATTTTGTAGGAATTGAGAATGTAGATCAGTAGTACAGCATCTGCCTAGGATGTGCTAGGTTACTCTCTCAGACAAGGGAGAAATAAAACTCTTTTTAAAGATCAGTATGAAAACAACTGGATAAAGACTGTGATTTGAAGTTGTATTTTGAAATCATGCATGTTTCTGCCAAATCAATTTTCAACTAAACTGGAAACGTTTCTCAAATAATTTCTATTCTTCTTAAAGCTTATGACAGAAGTATAATAAAATTAACAACTACTATCAAAGATACTAACATTCACTGAATTTTTATGTTAATTTTTAATATTTCAAAATCCCTAACACAGGAAATTTCAGGTATTACACTGAAAAGTTTATAAAAATGGGGACCCTAATAGTGTTCTGAAATAGCCTACTTTTGAGGCAAGTATGTCTAGGCAACCACAAAAGGAAACAAGTTTCAACTAGCTGTCCACAGTTCTAGGGAAATAAAAGACTCTCAATAGAAAAACAGGTATCTTAGGACAAGGACTACAGAATATTGAAGTCCAAAGAATGACCAGATTGAAGTCTCTAAAATCAATGAGGCATAAAACACCAATTCAAATATCTGTGAGGAATTGACAAAAATAGTTCTACAGATGGAAGATTAATTCCACCTAGCCCTTCATTTTGTAAATTTGACTTAAAATGAAAAACTATGCAACTAAAAAAGCTACAAATAAATAGTTACTTACGCCCAAAAGTCTTCAACAGTATCAAACTTAGAGATCAGTCGAAGGTTTGCTTGCCAAGTTTTACTTTTATCATTTTTGAAAAACCAGAGTGCCCATCTAAAAAGAGGAAGTCAGTGTTAAAAAAAAAAAAGGTAGTTGTGCATACCAGTGTTGTAGCAGAATTATTATTCACAATAATTATTACTCACAATAGTTAAAAAAGACACAATCCAAGTATCCATCACCAAATCAATAAACAAAATATAGTTCTGATACACAATGGAAGATCAATGGGCCTTAAAAAGAAAGGACATTCTTGAGATAAGACCTATGAAGCCAGTCTTACAAAGAGAAATACTTTATAATCTCACTTACAAGAAGTACCTAAGTAGTTACCATCATATACACAAGAGAATGGTGGTTGCCAGGGGGTGAGGAGAGGAGGGAATAGAAGATGTTATTTACAGAGTTAGATAATATTAGTCTCATATATTTAACATTAAGCTGTAGCTTTAAAAATGCTAAGCAGGCAATTTTTTGTTATATGTATTTTATTGCACACTTTTAGAATAAAAACTTCAAGTGGCTGTTATTTTTTATTCTTCTGAGATACAGTTTCACTATGCTGTTCAGATTGGCCTTGAACTTTTAGCAATACTCCTGGTTTTAACATCCTGAGTGATGGGATTACAGGCATGTGCCACCATGCCCTAAAGTGGTAATTCTTACTACAGAGACATGTAAATTTTCTTTATTTCTTTCATTTAAAAAACATGCATGTCAGCTGATAGGTAGGCTCAGTGGATGTGTAAGGTCCTGAGTTGAATCCCTTACACTACAATATAAAATGAAACAAAACTTTAAAAGGAACCACATTTAATGCTACTGTATAATAGATCCCTATTACACTTAAAGAGATCTGGAGTCTAATCATGTAAGAGATTACACAGAAATGTTGCAGAGAGACAATTCCAGTGTGGCAAGTGCTATGACAGAGTTAAGAAAGCACAGTTATTTAAGAAAATTTTTAAAAAGTATCCTAAGTGTTTAACTATAAAGGAAAGTAAGGGAAGACAAAGATTCAATTTCAAGAGGAACCAAAAGCTATTAGCCAAGAAAGAAGCTTATATATGTATCTGATACATATATTAATGCATCTAATAGCTCGTCAATAAATGTTATCAACCCAACATGATTCACCTTTAGAGAAATCAAATTCAATATTCTTGGAAGCAGCAAAGTGTGGTGGTACACACCTGTAATCCCAACACTTGGGAGGCTAAGGCAGAAGGACGACTGAGTTCATGGCCAGCCTGGGCTACAATTGAGTGCAGGTCTACCTGAACTACACAGTGAGACCCTGTCTCGAAACAAATCTTGAGCTATAACACGTAAACCTTGGTGTATGTGGGTTTCAAATCCCCAGGTTACACATTCTTCTAAGTCAGTCAATGATACAGAATGATTTAGAAAAACAAAACAAAAACTCAAAATCAAAACAAAACAACTAGGTATTATAAATAACCCACAGATGGGTTAAGTATACAGGAAGATATACAAATAATACTTTAATTTCTCATCGGAAATTGTCTGAAAAGCTTTCCAAATTGGACACACACTCCATAATTCCATAATCAAAGCCTGTAAATTCCAGTTATACATGAAGATGAAATCATTTCAACATGTACTTGAATAATCTGTTGCATTTGCCAACTCACTATCAAGGGGGAAAAAAATCAGGCAGAAAAAAATTCTAAAATTACTTAGTTCTTTGTTTTGTGGTTTTTTTTTTTTTTTGGAAAGAAAACTACTCAGAGTCCTGGAATTATGACACACCTGTATGTCCAGCACCTTTTGAGAGCTCAAGGTCAGCCTAGACTACACAAGATCTTGTCTCAAAAAAAAAAAAAAAAAAAAAAAAGAAAAAAGATTATCTTTTTCTCCATATAAAGCTCAGATACTCTAGTGTTTTGCACTAGGCTGAGTAAATCTGATGATACTTTAATGCACTAAACCATACTAGTAGTCACTGTATCCTTTGTATGTTTTTAAAAAGTCTTACTAGTATATGTTTGCAATACAAGCAGTTACACAATCATCTGGTGGAGGGGGTACTTGTATATACCATAGCTTGGTTCTATTTTATTTTTTTAAATCCTTTTCCTACTTCCCTACTTTCTCCTCCAAATTCCTTTTCTCCATGTTTTTGTTGATTTTAACTTACCTCATGTTTATGACATATAATATTTACATACAACAAGGTTATTAGGTTTCTGTACATGGTATACTTTTAGTCTATTTATTTCCTCTTCCACTCCCCATCTCCTCTAATTCATGTTTGTTTAGGCCCTTTCCCATTTGTAAAAGATCCGTCCCCTTGTCATTTGTCATGCATCGTTCATTGTGTTTTCTTCACATTTTGCCTTACTCAAATGAGATACAGTACAGTACTTAAGCGTCGGTGTCTGATTTATTTCATTTTTCTACGTGCATTCATTTTCCTACAAATGTCTCAAATTTGTCCTTCTTTATAGCTGAGACATACACATGTATACACACACATTTTCTTTATCCAATTGTCTGTTGATAAGTATACAGGTTGCTTCTAGGATTTAATTATTAATTGTGCTGCTATGCATGACTGCTATATTATGATATATTTTTAGGTGTTTGGGAAAGATACCTAGGTGGCAGCTAGCTGGGTCACAGGGAATTTCTAATTTTAGTTCTTTGAGGAATTTTGGTAATAGCTATATTAATTTACATTTCCATCAACAATGTAGGAGGGTTTCTTTTTCATTGCAGCCATGCCAGTATTTACAATTATTCTGATTTCTTGATGACCATTGTCCTTTCTGGTATAAGATGGAATTTTAGTGTAAATTTGTATTTCTCTAAGGGCCAATAACATTGAACATTTCTTTCATGCATTTTGTTGTTTATCTGTAATTCTTCTTAAAAAGTGTCTTTGATTTACTTGCCCCATTTCTCTTTTTTTGGTCTTTTTTTCGTTTTCATTGGTACCAGGGATTGAACTCACGACTGCCTGCTTGCAAGGCAGGCGCTTATGCCGCTGAGCTAAATCCCCAGCCCCACTTGCCCCATTTCTTGACTGTATTTTTTGTTTCAGGTGTTCTAATTTTTTTGAGTTCTTTATATATTCTAGATATTAGTCCTGAGGAACAGCTGACAAAAAAAAAAAAAAGCTCATTTTGTAAGTGGTCTCTTCATTCTGATCGATTCTTTGGCTGTGCAGACCTTTTTAATTTGGTGTATGCCTATTTGTTGATTATGGTTGTTATTTCCTATGTAACTGTGGTTCTATTTAGGGAACTTTCCCATACTTATGATTTACTTGTTTTATATCATTGCTTCAAAGTAAAAACAATCTCAGTTTCATTTAAGAACATCCTTAAAGGAATAGAAATTATATTTTCACAAATTTCAATCTGTTGGCTGGTCTGATCGCAGTGGGTTATCAGAACTTATCAACATTAGTATCACCAAAGTTGGTATACCACTCCCCCCCACTGCTAAATTTGACTGGCTTTTTAAAAAAAAATTTCAATCTGTCTACATAACTTTTTCATATTTTATATGTGAAATTAGTAAAGAAAAATTACAAAAGCACTTCTACCAATGCTTACCAAAATAGAGTACTGGCATAACTTTACATTTTTAGGTGAGCTTGTGACTCTTTCTCATGGAAGATCATTTTTACTTGAATAACTGACAAAATATCTTTTCTTTGGAGGCAGGAATGAACAAAGTACTGAGCCTGTTGCTGAAAATGTGAGTTTTCAGGAAAAAAATAGTAAGTTAGAAAGTTTTCATTTGCTACTACAAGCATGACAACTTTCAAAAAAGACATTCCTGATAAATTTGAGGTGGTATATATGAATGATTTATCCCACTCCATCAGAGGTAGAGAGATAAGAAGTTCACCAACTTGAGACCAGCAGGGCTCTCACATAGTGAATTCATGGTTGGCGTGGACTGCATACCACAAAACAAGATTAAAATCCTCTAAGTACAAACAGAAAACCCCAAAAAGGCTAAAGTAGGACAGCAAGTGCAAGGCCAACCTGGGTAACCTGAGACTTTGTCTCAAAAACTAAAAAATTTTAAAAGAGCTAGGGATATAGTTCTGTGGTAGAGCATTTGCCTACTTGGGGCCCATGGTTTAACTTCTAGGAGTAAGGGGAAGGAAGTACAAAAACACTATTAAAAGGACATGATTTGGATAATCTACTTCAAGCTAACACGTCCCCACCTTTTTGCCTTAGGTGAATTAACATACTTAAAATGCCTAAAAATAAACCTGAAAAGATAATCCTGAAGAAAAAAGATAAAAACTAAATGGATTGTCCACTGATAAAACCACAGATGGTCAATACAACATGAAAATGTTTTTTAAGTTCAATACAAGAAATACAAATTAAAAATAGTAAAAACTTTCAAAATCACTGACCAATCTGGCTGACCATCAATTCAAAAGACTAATGTAATGATCCCAGTTAGTAAGAATATAAAAACCTGGACCCCTCCACCTTTCAGTCTAAGCTCATCAAGAAGAGTAATTTGGCAGTTTCTGCAAAAGTTGTTAAAAGGGTGGTCTCTGTCCTAGGAAATCTGAAATTTTATACTATAGGTCCATTCACGAGTACAAACATACATATTAAGGTAAATTGCAGCAATATTTGTAAGAAGGAAAAATTTTATGCTCACTAATGTAAGCCTGATGAATAGATTCATATAAACACAGGCTAAAACAATGAGACAAAATCTGTACATGCAAACAAAAAAAATAGTATTTTCAATGACTAGCCTAAAAATACAATATATGTGTATGCCTTAAACTTCTGAATTATACACAGTAAATTTAACAGTATGTGGACAGCACAGTAAAATACAGTATTTCACAAAGCCAAGAACTTTTACTTTATATACTTTTGCCCTGTTCACCTATTCTTTATACAATTAAGGACTCATGAAAACATTGGGCTAGGGATTCATCTTAGCAGCATAAGCACCTGCCTGGCAAGCGTGAGATCATGAGTTCCATCACTGGTACCAAAAACAAAAACCAAACACACAAAACTTGTGCAATATTTTAAAAAGGAAATAATTAAGAAACTAGCAAATGTGAATCATAAAGTATCTTATAGTATTTTTCCAAATATTGTTTGCTATTTTACACACAAAAAAATGTAATTTATATAGAAATCAAAGTCCTGTGTTTTCGGATTTGTTTACTAAAGGTGAAACTTTTAAAAAAAATCTCTTCTCAGATTTCTTTTAAGCTGTAGGAGATACATGCTTTTATTACATCTCTCCACAACATCAACACCAAGAACTACTGTATTTAGAGACGACTAGATAGTATACAGAATTAGTTTTTAGAAGAAAACCAACCAACCAAAGACCAAAAAAAAAGAAAGAAAGAAAAGGAAAAAGCTTTCAAGAATACTGGTACTGTTACATTGAATTATACAAATCTGATGTTCAGGGCCAGGTATTTAGAGCAGTGGTGTAAGTGCCTGCCTGGCAAGTGCAAGGTTGTGAATTTGATTCTGGTCCTGGATACCAAAAACAAGAAAACAAATCTGATGTTCAATATAAGACATTAGGCACAATGATTCTCTATGAAAGGACTTTACTTTTAGGGATTATTTGATCTTTAATGGTCTATTAGGTGACAAGCCACATCATTTGTTCCTCATTGAAAAGTAACCACAGAACCTTCTATGAGAAAATTTCAGAAGTATATTTGGATTATCATGTATCTCAATGGGTCTCATAAAGAATGACATTTTGATCATAAAGACACTTTATTCTCAAAAATAAATGAAATCGGGCCACGGATTTAGCTCATCAGCATAAGTGCCTGCTTTCCAAGGGCATAGTCATGAGTTCGATCCCCGGTACCCCCCTCCAAAAACAAAAATCGAAACCATAAACAGACTTGTGGGCTCTTTCAAGTAAACAAAGTAAAAGAGCTGCCCTGAAAAATAATATAATTAACCCAGAAGGTTCTTACAATGTTTCTAAGCTGCTATTTTCTTCCCACCTTAGCTATTAATGAAATCAAGTTAATTTCCACTTTATAATCTAGAAAAACAACTACTAAACTGTTTCGTATCACTATGAAAATTGATCTTAAAGTTTTTGGAGACAAGGTCTTGCTACGTAGTCCAGGCTAGCCTCATAATCATGATTCCGCTGCATCAGCCTCCCAAGTTCCATGATTACAGGCAAATTCCACCATACCTGGCTTTACACCTCCTCTTTTCCCTAATTTGTCTCTTAAACCCCACTAACAACCTCTAGTTTCCACAGCATTTACCTTTTTTTTTTCAGTCCAACTCTGAGTTACCTGTTGTTTCTCTGTAAATCTGCTTATGTCTTATTCACTCTTCAACTGCTCCACTATCTATTCCATCACCTATACTCTACTAAAAATCTTTCCCTTAAGAAGCATTTTTAAGTAACTGTCCAACCTACTGGATATTTTAAGACTTTGCTTTACCTGTCTGGGCACATATGTTATTGATTACCCTGTTTTTAGAAAAAAGTTTATTTTAGTTCTATGACATTCTACTTTGTCCTAATCTTTGAATCTATATCCTAGCTACATAGTTTCCCTAAACAAAAAGCCCTTATGTACTAAAATCTCAGGCATTTGTTCTGCATCATTTACTTCTCCTTACGGCCACTAATTTACTACCACAACTTTAATTATAATCAACATACAACAAATTTCAAACCAATCTCACTGAGCTTTTTTTTTAATCAGGGAATGAACTCATGTCCTTGTACTGGCCAGGCAGGCGCCTATGCTGCTGAGCTATATCCCTGGCTCCTCATCCAGCTCTTCATAGGTTCAAGATTAAGATATAAAATTGTTTGCTGATCAATGGATATCAAGTGAAAATGGAGCCTTCAACCTGAGCACATGTGAAACTAGTCTTATCTAATTTTCCTTTTCAAACTTGTTCTGTTCTCCATTTGCCTTCTTATCTAAATTCAAAATGCCTAGGTGTCAAAAAACTTACCTGTTCTGAAGAGGATGTTTAATATAGTGTTCTGGGTTAGCAACCTCCTGATTAGATTCTGTTTTCTCCTCTTCTGCAGGTGGGGGATTAGGAGTAGGGGTGGTTTCCTATAGTAGAAAGTAACATAAAAATTTTGAGTTTCTGAACATTATGGCAGCAATACTCTAATATACTTCAGTCAAGGGCCAGGGATTTAGCTCAGTGGCTCAAGTGCTTGCCTGTTAAGTGTGAGGTCATGATATCCATCCCCAGTACACACACACACACACACACACACACACACACACATACATAATGCTGCTGATAATAGAAATGTATATTAACATAACAAGATAAACCAGATTTATGTGCAAAAAAGATCTCAAACCAAAGAGGTGCTAAGTACTCATTTTCTAAAATTAATTTTAAAACTACATTTTAGCAATACATAATGGTAACAGTCTTACGTAATTTGTACCTGTATATGTTTTAATTCTTCCCCTTTCCCTCTCCTCTCCTCCCTTAAACCCTCTCCCCCCTTCCTTATTTACGAAAAGCTTTGTTTCTATTTTTTCCTTCTATTCTCTTATTTTTCTCTTCCTTTCTTTCCCCTTCCTCATCTGAACATTTTCTTTCTATTTACAGTAAAATTCTCATTTTAAAGAATATAATTTTCCATGATACGCAACATACAAAGGAACTTGATTCTGCTCACCTATAAAATCACTTAGAGCAAGGGCTATGTCTTGATTTTGCTCACTAAGTATTGTCAGAGACTATAGTGCTTAACCTCATAGGTCATTATGGGCTTCATAATACATTTAAATGCTTATACAGAAAAAAGAAAGACCTAAGATTTACATACAGTACCTAATGTCTTAAAAATAATTCATTTTTACCAGCATTTTCTCGTCAGTCAATTCAGGTCTTCAAATAGATAATTACTAAACATCATTTGTTACCCCACTAGTTTAATGACAATGTCCACTCAAGATGCTGAGAGGCACAAGGGACACAGAAAACAGAAGAGAGCAGGAAGTGGACTTTGGAGGACAGTGCATCAAAACATCAAAAAAGAGTTGCTGACAAGTAATTCCCCAAAATCTATGTAAAATCCCTCACAGGTCCTATGCAGTGATGGTGAACCTTTTAGAGCATTCAATAACAAACAGTACACTGCAGTACATGTGCCACAGGTTCACTACCACTGTGCTAACTCAAAATGGCATGCTCAGAAGTGTAATGGAAAGGTGGTTAACAGAAAACTGCTGAGTCAAAACTTCAGCCACTGCAGCAAGAGAAACTGAGTTCAGAGCCAAAGTTCAGTTCAGATAAAACCACAAAGCCACAGACTAGGACACAGATCATGCAATTAGGAATTAAGTATAATTCCTGATTTGTTAAGACAAAACTGAAATACATCTAACAAATCTAATAGTGAGACTTGAAGGTAATCTACTTATCAAAAACTGTCTCCGAACACTAAATTATGCATTCTTTTAAAATTAATCTTCAGCCTCTATAAATATTAACTACTACAATATGTAGCAAACACTAGGCATATAGACAATTTTTAAACAGTGACTAGTCAAGAGATTAAATTGTTTATGGAAAAAGACAAACAGATAATGAAATAAGCAAAGACTTTTCACTATGAATACCATGGTAAAATAACAGACAGAAGAGAGAATGTAAATAGGAGTATTTGAAAGAAGAATTACAATCTATTTTTTAAAAGTAAGTAGATACGTTTACTCTGGAACTGCTATCTATAATACTTGATACTAGAAGCTTACTGAATAAAAAAAAATAGACTAAGATTAGCAGAACTAAGAATTGTGAACTGATAAGACAGGTCAAAATGTTATAGGCAGCTGAGTTAGTTAGAAACATTATAGGCAGCCAAACAGAGCTGGGCCCTCAAAGGACCCAGGGCAGAAGTTCAGATACCTTGCAGACTGGGAAGAGACAATCACTTTCTGCTGTGGGCAAAATCTCAAGACAAAAGGCAAAGCAAATAACCACATCCTAAGGACCCACAGTCCAAATAGTTCTCTATTACCCTGAGGAAGTCAGGAGTCAGTATCCCACCCTCTACAGGAAGAGTCACTGCTGTTAAGCATGCCTGCTTACTAAATAAATTGCTCCCCCATTTGCTCCTAATTTAATCAATTTTATCTGAGCAGTTAATCTTACTGGCTGACCACTGTTCTGTTCCACCTTATGCCCACCTTGCTAATTCCCATTTCCCCCCCCTTTGACCCATTTAACCTCATGATTTTACCCTGTGAGTTCCTAGAAAAGACAGAGGCCCTGGCAACACGCTTGGGAACCTTTCTTTCTCTCAATAAATATATTCTGCTCTTAACCTCATTGTTCCTAAAATTCATTCGATTTTTGAGAACACAAACTCATACCAGACACAGTAGATTGGGAGTTTCCATTCCCCTATATCAAAAGGAAAACATTCATACTAAAGCAGAAAAAAAGAATTTAATGTGAAACATGATTGAAAGATTCCAACGTGAGAGAAAATGGGACAGAAGCAATGCATGAATTGACAATTATTTATTAAATCTCATTTTTAAAAACTTAGATTCATTCAACTTAGGAAACTAAAGTATATACATAAGCAAAAACCATACCTGGGCACATCAAATGCAGTCAGAAAACAGTTTTCATAGAAATGACGGTAACAGCTGAGTTCTCAACTGAAACTATGGAGCAGGTAAAACTATAGAAGGTGGGCATGGTGGCACAGGCCTGCTGTAATCCCAGTACTCAGGAGGCTGAAGCAGGAGGCTTACTTTGAGATCAAGGCCACCATGGACTACACATAGTGAGACTCTGCCCCAGCACCACACTCTCACATGCAAAATGATAGAATGTTACTTTGGTGCTGAAAAGCTTTCATCTTAGAATTTAATGTATAGGAAAAATATCCTTCCAAAATGAAAGCGAAACCAATGTAGTCCTAAACACTTTCCTAACTCTCCAATGAAGTGGATTAAAAGTAAGAGGAACACCAAAGGAAAGTCTTATGCCTGGAAGAATTAAGATCCAAGGGGAGTAGGAGTGGGAGTGGGAACAAGTAAAAAAGACCAAACAACAGAAGTATATAAAAGATGGTTAAGTGTATAATCTTTTATACACTTAATAAACAGTTCGGGGTTTTAAAACAACGATGGGTCTGGCCACAGTGTTGGGTATATGTAATTTGTAAGACTGGGAAGGCCCATAAAAAATTTTAAAAAGTTAAAAAAAAACAGAACAACAACAACAAACCTTTGGATAAGTCCCAATGTATACATTGAGTAAATACCTCTCATCCAAATACTTGGGGTCAGAAGTGCTTCAGATTTTGGTGAAATTTGTATATCACAACAAGATATCTTGGGCTCTAAATTTGAAGATCATTTATGTTCCAAATATATGTTCTAAACAAAGCCTGAAAGAACTTTATATGGTATTTTAAATTCTATGCATTAAACAAAGTTTGTATATTGAAGCTCAAAAAATTTGTTCTTTGGTGATGCTAAAGAAACTAAGCATTGTATACCTGTATGCCTGGTATGTAGACCAAACCTCTTACATAAAATCAGGTATGGAATTTTTCACTTGTAACACCATGTCACTGCTAAAAAGTTTCAGGTTTTGGGATGTTAAACACGTTGCACTATAAATTCTCTTAAATGTACCGTACTCGTAAGTTCAAAAATCCTTATAAACTATACATGTATTTAAGTCTTTTATTTCAGCAACACATAAAATAATGAAGCAATTTACAACGTGAATTGCAAATATTACAGGATCAAAAGTATCATTCACGACTTCCAGGAGAACATGGCAAACAGATAGCAGCAGCTACGGAGGCTCACTGAAAGACTCAGCTTAGAATCCAGGAATGGTGCGGAGTGAGGAATCCTAAGCAAGAGGAAATACGCCCTGCTGACCTAAGAACGAACTGGGCTGAGAGAAACCAACTGGGAATGCAATCCTGGTGCTATAACAGGAACAGATAAAGCCTAAGCGAGGAAGCTGGAGCCTTCGCCATTGGAAGCTGCGATTTGGGTTTCCTGCCGCCGCGGCTGCATCTGAATCGGCTCGGCAGGGAGAGAGACACATGAAAGCTCTGAAAGCGGGAATCGGTGAATGGAGTTGAGAGCAGGACAGGCGGGGAGCTGTGCATCGACCTGCGGTGAGTGGGGGAAACTGGGACTTTCCACTGTCTAGAGGATGCAACAGAGGACATTCTAGGACCGGGCAGACTTGCCAGAACAGGGCGCTGTACTGACTTCAGTCACGTATCCCCCTCACAAGTGGGAGTGGTGAGCAGTGCCTAGCTTACGTGATGCTGCTGACTGAGACCCGGTAGACTAGCACAACCCAGGTCCCAGGGCCTGAAGGTGAACTGGAGGGGCGAGCCCCACATAGGCTGCCCGGTCCGTAACTCCCTGGGGCGCTGTGGTGGGTGGGAACACCTAGCCGGCACAATTCAAACAGACTGTGGCCAACAGGGAAGGAAGCTGGGCCTCCTATATACACTTGCATATATAAGGAACAAAGAATATGGGAAGAGGGAGCAACAAGAAAGGCCCCTCGGCCCCCAACCCTGAGAAACAGGCAATAGCAGACACAGCACCAACAGACATAAAGCGCTAACTCCAGAGCCTCATAGACCAGTTCAGAAATGAAGTTATTAATGACCTGAAGCTAGACATAGGCAGAATAGTTAGAGAAATGTTAAGCACCACCCAAGAAAAACAGATGGTGGAATGGAAGAACAGAAAAAGAGGGGACAATTGTTTGATGGAGAAAACAGAGAAAGCATAGAATACGTGAAGCACATTCAAAGAGATTACCAGGAAACTAAAAACTCTATCGAAAGCTGGCATAACAGCTTGAAAGAAACTAAGGATAGATTATCTGAACTGGAGGCCAGGTTTGTAATATGGGAGCATGAAATGAAAAACAGAGCTACACCCAGGCATATAATAATCAAAATACCAGAAATCCAATATAAGAACAGAATATTAAAAGCCACCAGAGACAAGAAACAGATCACTTACAAGGGAACACCCATCAGAATTACAGCAGACTTCTCAGCACAAACCATCAAATCACAAAG